CTAAATTATTACAGAAATCTTAGATGCATTTCAAACTTTGTGTTGCAATTTCAATCAGGAGCTCCAACTAGAAGCGCCAGGCTGGAAAGAAAGGTGCAAGAGAAAATTTCAGCTGTTACTGCATGAGAGACCTTTTTAGGTAACAGCATCCAGTTTTAATGAAAATCATGGGAGCTGTCCCTGGCTCTGTGGTTTGGAGGGGGTTTGGAGCCCGCTGCCTTCAAGCCGTCACTTCTCCCTCCTTGACAGCTCGGTGGGAGGAACAAAAGGCCCAGCAGAGCAGAGATGATTTGTAAACACTGGGAACGGGAACAAGGAGCCTTTGCCACCCACCCTACCTGGGGCTGACGCATTCAGAGTGCCAGCTGCTTCCTTACACACAGGCACAGAAAAACAACCTTACGGGATGCATTTGGCTTCTGTTTAACTCTTAGGATACCACTAAGTATCCTGGTCCATAGGAAAACAGCCGGACTGCGTCATTTCCATGAGGATGCAAAAGCTCAGTGTTCTCTGCAAATCCAGAAACGCTTACGTTAAAAGGCCGTTTTATTGTAGTTTGGTATTTGGGTGTTTTCAGTGGCTTTGACATCTTCAGCATTAAATCAGAGGCTGAACACTGCATTTTTGTCTTGTTTTCCCAGTAAAGACTTGGTTGCTGATTAAAGCCTTTGGCAGTGAGTGGGCAAAAATTAATGCATTAACAACATAACAATGAAATCAAAGTGAATTAGAATAGCATTATCTGAAATAAATTTTATTTTTTATTTTGTTAGTACTGTGTAATGTTCTTTGAACTGATGACAATGATTTATTTCTGCTTAGATGAATGATGAAACTAATCAGTGAATTGCTGGATAGATGCTTTGTTAAATTAATCCCATATTCAATTGGGAGTCTTTAATCTATTGCTTTGTGTACGTTCTTGTCATAGAAATCATAGGGGGAGGTGGAGGTTCTTCTCTCATCTACATCAGTATGCACTAGAGCATCTTCATTGCTTACCAGTGGGGTTTCATAGGTTTGAACCCGGGAAGCTAAAGCAAAAATAGGACCAATTCCGAATATGTAAGGGTTTGGGGATTTTTAGTTAAGAATATTAGCAAAAATGAGTGTGGGCCAGTCACTTACTTTTACATTTTCTTTTTTTAAGCTAGATAAACTAACGCTGTGCAGAGTTTCTAGTCCATTCACAAGTCGCTGGCTGTTCAGCTAAATTTTATCAATGAGGACAATAACAAATGTGTTAATGAAATGACAGCGAAGGCCACGCAGCTCTAGGAAGCTGGTACTAACAGAAGTGCTTTTGCCACAGCCTTGCAATCCCAGGCAGGCCTTTGTCAGGCTGCTTCCCAGCTGTAAGCAGGAAAGCAGCTGAGCTTTCTACCATCATTTGACATAAGTGGCAGTTGGGTCCCCACGAGATGACGTTATCCAAGAACTGGAGATTTGCTTAGCAGGGAGCTGCGCTCTGGCGGATGAAGAGCCGCTGTCCCTGCAGTCCAAGCCATGGGCATCCCCCAGCTGTGGAGGGAAGTGTGTGCTGCTGCTACGTGGGTTGCAGGCTGGGCATGTCCTGGTGGTTTCAAAGCCTGTTCCTTGGGAGGCAGAAGGTGGCCTTGTCTTTTGGAGAGAGACCAAGGAACCGCGTGGTTCACGCTGGCTTGTGGGCGACGTGGGTGATTTGTGTGTGACCGGATGGGTCGATGGCAAAACAGGCTCAGAGCAGAGTTCCCAGCAGACAGCGATATTGCGGATCAAGTGCACTCAAGAGCTTGAAGAAAGGGCATGTGTAAGATAACAAATACAGGTTTCTCTGGGGCATCTTAAGCAATTACTCCTCCTTAAGCTAAAAGCAGCTGAAATGCCTCCAAAAAGGAGGGACACTTAATCCGTAGGCCTTTCCAGTCTGCCCGCCGTCCAAGCCCTGGAGTGTGAGAGTTTGCACGATGTCTGTCGTGAGCTTCTGCAAACTTGCACCTTGCTTCCTTCTGGAAGCCGCCTCTGTTGAGGCTTTAAGCTAAACAAGGGCCCATAAATACTGTCTGGTGTCTGTGCAGTGTCCTGATTTTCCAGTACTTAGCACGGGGTGGCTAAAGAGTGGGTTTTGAGGGGGCTTAAAGCATTCAACATGTACCAACGCCGCATGAGTTACAGGACATAATGTCCACATTTCGTAAATATAAGAGTTAAGGGTTGCTGCCTTTGTGATTTGTCACGGGCTTGTCTTTGCAGAACTAACTGTCTTGGAAGGAACCCTTGAGTAAGAAAGGCACAGTTATTTATGAAATTTATTCCTCTTCCACATCTCCTCCCATTTTTCTTTCCTGCGGTGAGCCTATAGGCTCTCGCTTGATCAGGGTCACCTCTGAAATGAGATGCCCTTTGAATTCCAAGATACAGTCCTGGTTCAATAAATGTGCAAATTGAAAAACGGCCTCCAGAAGGCAGAGGCAGGGGAAGGACGCAGCCGCATGCTCAGTCCCGGCTGCTGGGCCTTGGGACGCTGAAACTGATTTTTTTCTACCTTGGCATAGGTTAAGCCAGGAGTACGAGACGCAGGACGATTTAATTCATTTCATTAGAAAGCAGGTTGTAGCTTCATGTCAGCCAAACAGAGCTGAGTTTGCCGAGGAAAGACAGAAACCCTGAATCCAGCTGCGCGTAAGGAGGAAAGGGAATGTGACAGAGTAACAAAGAAGTCCCGACAACCGCGGAGCTGCAGCACCGGGTCTGTTTTCTGGACCGTGTCGTGCCTGGGGACTACGTTATGCGGTGCTGGATGCTGCCCTGTGCACCTCTTGCAGTATTTAAGCCTGGTGAGTGCTGCCACCTCTCTCACGTGCCCCTCAGGACACGCGGGGGCCTCTGCGTCCTCGCAGGCTGGCACAGTCACTTCTGTCCCTGCTGCAAAGTCAAGTCTTGGCAGGCTTGATAAATGCAAATTTCCCTGCACAAATTTGGCATGAGGAGAATATTAAGCCTGCTATCGGAGGCACATCTTGTTCTCACAACAGTATCACGCTGCTCTGAATTCCCATGCCCTTTTTTTTATTATTTTTTTATTTTCTTTATTAATGTCCTGGGCTACACTGATGTACGGGATGGCTATATGCTGTTTAAATGAAACTGCAAGTGCTGGGAAAGCTGTCCCAACTTTTCTGTAGGTGAACAACTCAGGAACTGACAGGCAAATGTCCCACATCTAGTTTTGAGATCCTCTGGAAGGAAGAAGACTGTATAAATGTAACATATCACTGCATTTGAGGCCATATTGACCACGGACAGCCTGGCAGCTTGACCTTGCACCTTGCTACCACACTAAGTTGCTGCCAGGGCTCCTACACGGTTAACGTGACCCTGTTTTAATTTCTGCTGTGCCCGGGCGGCTGCCGTGGAGCCCGGAGTGGCTCTGCCTGAGGCTTTGGGGTTGCAGAGCCGTGAGGAGAGCCGGGGTGGCGCGTGGTCCCCTCCCGTGCCCGCGCGGTGCCCAGCGCCTGCTGCCTTCCCTGCGGCTGCCGGCTCCGCGCGAGCCCGAGGACGTGGCTTTCGTGGGTGTTTTTCCACCACTCTTGTTTCTACTTTTTTCCCCGTGTCCTTGCAGCTTCAGTGGAGGATACATTCTGCGTATCTCGATCAGCACATGCATCGGGACGTTGTAACTATGCAGTTTTGCTCCTGCAGGAATATTGTTATCTTTGCATTGCGGATTTGTTGCAATCTGGTTTGGGGGAGCAGGGATAGAAGGGCCCTATTCCCGCCTGTTTGCTGACTCGTGTACATTTTCCTTTTTCCCGCAGCTCCTAATCCTGCCTTTTCTTTCCTCGCGTGGAGCCCTGCCAGCCGCCCGGCTTCTCCCGGCGCGCCTCGCACAAAGCTGCTGTGTGTTCTCCCCCTAAAATCCGCCCCTGTTTTCTGTTGCTAGGCTACCCCCTTGCAGCTGCCGCTGAAGAAATGCTCCGTGGTGGGAAACGGTGGCATCCTGAAAAGGAGCGGCTGCGGCCGGCAAATAGACGGAGCCGACTTCGTCATGCGGTAAGACGCAAACCCCCGCGACGCTCCCTGCCCGCTCCCGCGCTTCTCGTAGCTGTTCGCCTGTGAGCAATCGATTATCATTTGCCCATTTGCCTTTATTCATTAATTAATTTAATAATGTATGTATCTTACTCCAGTGGTTTGGGTAAAGGCGTGAGAAAGGGCGGCAGGGGCAGTCCCGACCGGCTTCCGCCCACGTGCGCGTCGCGGGGAGATGTGCAGCCGGATGCGCTGGGCCTGTGCCAGGCTCTGCAGTGTCAGGGAGAGGGAACTGAGAGCAGCCTTTCTTTCTGATTGCACTGGGCTAGACAGGATCTCATCCTGTCATGGGCTCTGTCCTGTAACTCTAAATACCGTCACCTGACACCCATTAACCTCAGCATGAGGAGACGCTGACTTATAGGCCAAGCTTTAAGAAGGAAGCTGGAACACAGTAAAATGCTTTTACGTTTTTCCTCCCCGAAGATAATTTCTGACTGACAGAGGAAAAGACAACCTTTTTCCTTAATTCTGTTTTCTTGGAGTTCCTCAAATTCCCTCTTACCCTCGCTGTTCTGAAGCCATTAGAATCTGTCAGGCAGGGTGTTGAACCAGACAGTACTTTCTTGACTGAATTTGGCACTTTCCAGATCTGCAGTCTTATGAAAGGAAGACAGAAAATGAAGTCCTTTTTGTTCAACATGAACAAGAAAAGCTTTGTTGTATGAATACTCCCCAAAAGATGAGACGTGGAGATACTTACAGCTTTGAAACAGATGCAGAATTAACTCCCACTTTAGAAAGTCCCCTTATTACATTTTGATTTGCTCAAAACCAAATAGCCTTACCGTGATTTCTGGTTTCCGCCTGAAGACCAAAAAAGCAAAGAAATACAGTGATCTGAAGACAAAGGAAACATATATTTAAAACGCAAACAGGCACAGGAGGAGGGACTCAGTGTGTTGATTGCCATTACTGTGAAAATCCTTAGGTGTTCCAGAGACTACGTATAAGAAACTGCGGGGTATAGCATGGTAATGTTATCTAGATGCAGTAGAAAATGGAATTACCGTAGCAGCAATTAATTACAAAAGCAACAGAAACTTTTATTTTATTTTTTTTAAGCAGCCCTCGTAGCTTGATCAGAGAAACTGTTTTCCTCTCCAGGGATGGTAAACCAGACATCATCTGCACAGAAATTATGAATTGGAAAGAAGCAAAAGGGAAAATCCTGCACAATCTCAAAGCTGTCTGTAGACTGTGTTCTATTAATCATGTGCAGTCGTGTTTATGGCAAATGTTTCAGTTCTTTTGAGTAGAAGCTACTATACTTCTGGGAGAAAGTATTTCTATGGCCCGTGGAAGATGGGATTTAGTAGATCTCTTCTAAATCTAATGTCTATAATCTGAGTGAAAAAGCACAATAACGAATTGCATAACGTCTTTCATTTGCTCTTAAGAAATGCTGTTAAGGTTAGTTAATGAGTTTAAACTCATCCTGTTCTGACCATCATCTCCAAACACAGTTGTACCATCATATGCATTAGAAGAGCAGTAATTTTCAGCCCCTGAAGCATAGCACACTGTATAAGCAGTGAAAAAGGTGCTTGGTCTTGGCCACATGGTCTGTATGTTCAATTAGCTCTGTATGTGGTTGTAATAGGCTGTTCTCTGGTCAGCAGGTCTTTTTTTTCAGGTTTGTCATCTTCAGTTTTAAGTAAATTCTTTATTTGTCCTGCCTGCAAATACTCATTTTAGGAGATAAATAGCAGGTAGTGAACCCAAAGAGGTCTTTTTGTCCGCATTTTGGCAAGATACTGGTTAATGGAGGAATCCCACTTTCTTAGCATTAGATACTGACGAAATATTTCTACCTTGTAGTTCTCCCGTTTTCTCAATGGCCACATCTGCCGCAGAGAGGATTTTTCTCCGCTGTAAAACAGTGTTGGGAGGAGGATGTCTCTGAGCCGGTGGCTGTTAAGTTTGCTCAGGACCTGGCGGCCTGTCACTCTGTTTGAGCTGCCTGGTGGCAGGGCTTGCTAGCTCTTGTTGGAAGGAGCTAAGCTCTTATCTCTAGGTTCTGTGCCTGCTATGTAGGCAAAGCTGGGCTGCTTAAATGCAGTGCTGCTTTGGCGGTGTGCAGAGAAACGTTGCTTTTGTTTGTTGTATGTAGTTATTGTCTTGGTACTGCCACAGGTGCCATAAGGAAGTAGAAGCGAACGTTGGAAAACGGACGTTAAAAATTCAGATTAATCCTTTTTACTTCGAGCCAAGGCGGATTAAGCTGTGTGTCTGCCATGCATGCGTGATGTATTCTGAAATAGGTAATTGCATAATGTCTACCAAATGAACATGTCGTTCTTTGGCCGGCCAAGTTGCCTGTTTTCTCTGTATCTGTGGGACATGGACATCTCTCTGGATCAAACGTGGAGGAGCTGCTGCTGCCTTGTGAAGGCTGAAGGTTCCTCTCAGTTGTAGTGACCTGTTGAGCTGAACGATCGCAGATGTAAAAAAGGTGCAGCACAAAATAGAGAGACTTGCTTGAGACTAAGCAAGGAGATACATCACGCTGTTATGTTGCCTCCTTCCTGTTCCATTCATATAAAAAAGTACTGGTCTTAAATGTTGTCCTGGTACTCCCCTATTTCTCACACATCGCATGCTTGCTCCTCAGCATGAGGAGCCAAGAGTAAGACCATTAAATATACACATTCCTTACAATGATTCCTTTGCTTCTTGGTGTTTTTCTCACCTGTGTAACAGTCAGCACTCTGATGACCAGATTAAGAAAATTATCTGAAAGGCCAAGAAGTTGCTTGACAGCTGGTTTCTCTGCTGAATACATGCAGCATTTCTTAATATTTCATGCAGAACAAGCTGGAAATTAAATTTCCCGATAAAAATTTTTTATCAGTTTAAATAATCCACCTAGGACTAATCTGTGAAAGAAATTTCTTTATTAAGATGGTGAAAACTAGTGAGAGATCTCGGTCTTTCACATTGCCTTTAAGTAAACACCAGTCAAAATTGTCCTCTTAAAAGGTTTCCCCTGGAATTTGTGTTTATTCAAATCAGAGACCATAAAACTGTAGACTGGTGGAGGTCATCTGTTCCATCTCTCTGCTCTGAGGCAAGATCACATATACATAAATATATATAGCTTTGCTTCCCGATACTTGTTTGACTTGCCATTAAACACTGCCACAGAGAGAAATTTGGCAGCCTTTCCAAACAGCATTATTCTGATTGATTTATATCCTACCCAGCCCATGTGTTTCTTTTAGTTTTAATGAAAACCTTTCTCACTTTAGATTTTTTCCATCCTTTCTGAGAATTAAGTTTTCCATATGTTTCTAATCTTTCTTCAGTGACTGCATTTTCTGAAACCCCTCATTTTGATTCCTGTTGGCTGACTTCATTTTAAGTTATCTTGCTTCTTTTAAATTGTGGTAGGTCAAGCTCAGTTCCCTAGCTGAGATCTCAGTGGTTTCCATGTGTGCCTTAACAGATACAGTCATATGAAGGAGAAACCTTTTATTCTTCCTAATGAATATGGGTGACTTATCTATGTTGCATATCCAAAGCCCTTTGCTGTCCTTCTGTTGGCATTTTCTTATCATTTGCAGTTAATAATATGGTTTTGAAAGCTGCTATTTGATGCACGCAAATCCATGCCCTTTTTTTTTTTTAAGGAAAATGGGATGTTTTACATCAATAAAAATTGCAGGGTGGATGTTAGGTGCTCAGTAGTGCCCTCTCCAGGCACTGCTGTTTTTCATGGAAAATTTATCTTTCATTTTAAAAGTTGGGCAGAGTTGTAATGAAGGCTATTGTTTTGATGCTCATTTTTCATGTAAAAGTTCTATACAAAGAGTAGATCTCGCCTGACTTTAATAGCTGTAGCAGTGCCTGGGCTTGGATACTGTTTGAATGTATTTTGGACATTATCTACCAGTCCTTGCTCCTTCTCTCGTGTATTTACTATGGAGCATTTAAGCCTGTTCATTTTTTAGAAGTTTCCTTCTGCTTCTGTTTTTCCAAGTCTTGTCTCTCTCACTTTCCAAAGTCGACCTGCTTAGTCTTTTTAATATTATCACCTTGCCCACCGGAACAAGACTGTGAGAGGAGCCGAAATACAGATATTTAAAGAGCCACTTAAAGTCTTCATCCGTCTGTGTTTCTTGATAAATTGGGGTGCGCCGAAGATATCCCACGATGTAATATTAAATATTCCAGTAGCCTATTGCTTGCAAGAACATATATAATGCTTATTATGCTTATGTAGCATTATGTAGCATAATGCTACAGGGTGAAAACTTGCTGGAGCCTGGGACTAATTTACCACGTGAAACAGGGTGAAAAAGAGAACTTTAAAGGAATTTGAGAGAAGCCATTGCCTTTTTTTACACTGTTGCCATCTTACTTCCACAGTTTGTCAGCCTAACAGCCTGGCAGAATTGCCAAGTCTGTGGTTTCCTTTTTGCTTCACAGTTAGGATCATCTCTACAAAAGGGCTTATTCCTTTATTCTCCACAATCTCCAGGAAAAAAAAAAAAAAAAGTTCTGCTGTGCTTATAGATGTGGTGGAGCAGGGACCATCCGTGGCGAGCTGCAGTATTTATATTGTGCTCTTACATTCTCGGTCAGTTTGCTTGGCTTTTTATGAAAACTGCAAATTTAGACTTAAAAAAAACCCTGGGGTTGAAGCCTGTCAATCCTGAATGTCAATTAAAATCTTGAATGTCTTTCTGCCTGCAGGTGCAACCTTCCTCCTCTATCCCGTGAATACAGCAAGGATGTTGGATCTAAAACCCAGCTGGTGACTGCAAATCCCAGTATAATTCAGAAAAGGTAGAGAGCATGTTGCTCCTTCTCTCATCTGGGGAAACAAAAAAAAAAAAAGAAAGTGTTTGCTTTTTATTGTACATATTAGTGAATTGTGTTCTGTTTTTTCACAATGAACGATGTTCTGATCCTGGAAAAGATGCAATAAGCAGTGGTTTGAAGTTAGGTGAAATAAATGGAGACTAAAACTCTGATTGATCCTTTCACTGTAAGTAGAGAAACTAAGAAACTAACTGGCTTTTTACAAGATTTTCTTCTACCATTCTCTCCCTCCCTGTGTCTGTATGGCGAGGTGTGCGCCAACATGTGCTTTGCCTGGCTGCAAGCTGGGCATATACTTACGGTATACATCCTGTGCCACAGTGAGTTAAGGTCCTCTGCTGTAATCCCCTTTCCTTTTCTGCACGTGCCGATTTGGCTTTCTCTTTGCTCCACAACCGATAGTTTCTGTGAGACCTGTGGGCTCTTCTTGGTATTACGTGTTTACTGGTTTGCAGTGTCCAAAGTGAGTAGGAGAGGACTGATTGACAGGTTGTGATCATAAAGCCTGGCTGACTTAGGAAGCTGGGATAAAATTTATTTGTTTATTAGGGTTAGTGGAATTTTTCTAAATGTCAGTAGCTGACGAGAGAGGGGAAGAAACAAACCAAAAAAAATGTCAAAGTCATCTCTGTGATTTTGCCTTGCTGAATTTTAATTGCTGTGTTATTTGTTTATCTCCCAGGATGTGATAGGCTGTTCGCAGACAGAATAAAATCTGCTAGTAACTTGCCACGTTCACTGAAAAACATACAAAAAAGGCATAAACTGAGACAATGAACAGGAAATGATTAGGCATAAAAGGAGTGTAATGCAGGTGCTGGGAGGTGAAGGATTGTGAAAGGGAAGAAAAGCAGGCGAATAAAAAGGATTAAGAAAGAGAAGAAAGGCACAAAATAGACATGGAAATTGATATTCCTTGATATTTCAATTCAATTTAATGTTTTTCAATCAGGAATTGAAGGGTTCTCTGTGTGTGTGGAAAAAAAATAGGTGATATGGTGCTCTTAGACAAAGTGGTAAAGAGAGGGAGAGCAAGAGGGAGATGGAGGAGCAACCAAGTGCAGGAGCCGGTGCTAAGCAGAGGGGTCCGAGGAGGACAGGGCATGGATGGACGCGCTCGCGGGTCAGAGCAGCGTGGAATGGGATGGGAGTAGTGTGGGCAGCGGGAAGGCTCCGTGGGCAGCGGGAAGGCTCCGTGGGCAGCGGGAAGGCTCCGTGGGCAGCGGGAAGGCTCCGTGGGCAGCGGGAAGGCTCCGTGGGCAGCGGGAAGGCTCCGTGGGCAGCGGGAAGGCTCCGTGGGCAGCGGGAAGGCTCCGTGGGCAGCGGGAAGGCTCCGTGGGCAGCGGGAAGGCTCCGTGGGCAGCGGGAAGGCTCCGTGGGCAGCGGGAAGGCTCCGTGGGCAGCGGGAAGGCTCCGTGGGCAGCGGGAAGGCTCCGTGGGCAGCGGGAAGGCTCCGTGGGCAGCGGGAAGGCTCCGTGGGCAGCGGGAAGGCTCCGTGGGCAGCGGGAAGGCTCCGTGGGCAGCGGGAAGGCTCCGTGGGCAGCGGGAAGGCTCCGTGGGCAGCGGGAAGGCTCCGTGGGCAGCGGGAAGGCTCCGTGGGCAGCGGGAAGGCTCCGTGGGCAGCGGGAAGGCTCCGTGGGCAGCGGGAAGGCTCCGTGGGCAGCGGGAAGGCTCCGTGGGCAGCGGGAAGGCTCCGTGGGCAGCGGGAAGGCTCCGTGGGCAGCGGGAAGGCTCCGTGGGCAGCGGGAAGGCTCCGTGGGCAGCGGGAAGGCTCCGTGGGCAGCGGGAAGGCTCCGTGGGCAGCGGGAAGGCTCCACGGGCAGTGGGATGGCTCCGTGCGCAGCGGGATGGCTCCGTGGGCAGCAGGATGACTCTGTGGGCAGCGGGACGGCTCCGTAGGCAGCGGGATGGCTCTGTGGAGAGCGGTACGGGCGGCAGGTGAGCACAGGGATCAGCTCAGGGCAGTGGGACTGAAGATGGGGAGCTGGGAAATGTGGCGGAAAGGACGGAGCTAAGGCAGACACGTTGGAAAAGTGGGATGAAATGGCAGGAACATTGCATCAGGGAAAGGAGATTCATTTGACTGTGGCATTTTGGGTGACATGAAGAGGAATAATGGGAAATGTGAAGCTTATCAAGGATGTTACAGTTGTCAAAGCAGAGGATAATTAAACTCGTGGATCCTTCCATGTTTTTTGTTTCCCTTCCCTTTCAATGCCTAGAATAGAAAAGGGTAATTCCAAAGGAGTAATAACTCACTCCACTTAACATTTTTGAACAGAAGAGGAAAAGGATGTTCTCAGTGACATTAGAGGAAGACTTTGGAGCTTGCCCAGAGAGGCTATGGAATTATTCAGCTAGGAAGAAAAAATGAGAGTGAGCATATGGCTGAAGAGGCAGATGAAGAGAGCAAGAAGGTATTTTGTGCAAGGTGGATCTCAAAGGAAGGAGTGGGTGGAGAGGGAAATGCAAAAAGAGCAAGTGAGGAAAGGATGGGAACAGGACAGGAAATGAGCTTGTTTGCCAGATCAGTTTTCATGGCTGGATGATCAACTGTGGTCTAAGAGCTTTGGCAAGAAAGTACTATAGGGTGTATATGCATGTGTATTGATTAGACAAGGACAACTGTGGCCAATTATTGAGACAGAGAACAAATTCATGGTGCTGAAAATTGGCAGAAACCTCCTCTTAGGCATGGAGCTATTGAGCGGTCTGACACTCGCTTCCTCTGCTTAGTCATAGACAGATTTTTTTGTCTGTTTTTGTATAAGACTTTGTCCAATTTCTGTTTAAGTAAAGATATGTGATATATATAAAATTATAGTATTTTACTGCCCTTTCCTGTATGCTTTCCAAACTCATTATTTTACCTCCTTCAAATTAAACTGAAGTCAGACGTGAACATATAAGATAAAAAGGTGCAAGCTTGGAAGTTAAAATACAAAGAAAGACTCAAAAAATAATCCATTTCTATGAAAAGAAGCTTTTTAAAGAATTAAGACTGCTTGTAACTCAGGCTTCCGCAATATTCAAGGACTTTCAGCTTGGTGGCTGATACAGATCTGTTTCTAAGCTGTAAGTTAACTAGCTTCACATAATGGTATTACTGAATTATCAGTCTCCCACTCTCCTCTCGTCCTTGCTTTAAGTAGGTTGATACTGATGAGGCTTGACATCTCAATTATCTCCCGAGTGTGTTATGGCAGATTTAGTGAAATGGTCCTGCAACACCATTCATCGCCTCTAACAGATTCATCCTTACCAGATAATTTATGATTAGGCATATTGGACAGGACAAGGATTTTATACCAGGGATGTGGAGGCAATTTTCTGTGATGTTTTAAAACTGGAATGCTCTCTTTGGGAAAACAAAATTGTTGCAAGTAACTGTTGCACAGTGGTATCTGAGCTGCCACTGTTTCCCTCTAGACATTCCTTCAAGAGCCAGTTTGCAAATGTAACAGGAATATAACAAGGGAGTCAAGATTTTAGTATGTACTATGTCTGGGAATACACTGACTTTAATGATACCCTTTGGGCAGCAGATAATAATAAAAGAATTAAAGATTGAGTTCCTAAAAGTACCCGCTTAGTTTTCACCAGGAAATATAACTGTGCAGATAGAGCAATTTTCACGTGTAAATATTGTGCTCTCTTCTCAATTGGGTTTGAAAACCTGGCTTCATATAATTCAGGAATACGGGCAATAGAGGCAATATGATAGAAATTCCCCTGCCAGACTAAGAGGACTCGTGATGAATGGCCCAATTTCTTTTTTTGCCCAAGATGTCTCACAAGAATCTCCCTCCGGTTAATATTGGAACTGACAGTCCTTTGTGGCTGTGTGAGATTTCTTTTGCCACTTTACAGCCTAAGCTTATGTTGCTGTTGACTCTTGCTTTTAGGCTATAATTTGGATTGAAATGTTGCATAAAACTGTTGTGGGGGTACCCCACGCTTCAGTCAAGCGGAGACTGCGAACAGGTTGGCATTCTTGGTGTTTCACGTTCATTGCCCTACCACTCTGGTAGTCTAGTTGACTTGTCCTTATCTGTAGGGAGCTACTGTGGGCATTAAACAACTTTCTTTTCTGTATAGCTTCCCCACCATTACTAGAACCTCAGACATTGTATCTAGCAAAGATTATTCTATGTTTGTTCTAGGTCTTGTGTTTTTTGCACAACTGCTATAAGTCAGTGTTAGGAGGGAGGCTGTGTAGTAGCTAGAACTGTGATGTGAATATGTTTCTTCTCTGATTTTCTCTATGACAAATTCAACAAAAGTATTAGGTAATATCATTTATGACAACTGTTTTGATGATTCTGAGCACTTGTCTACTACTGTGGAAAGTGACGTGTAAGTGGATCCCACATGGACACAAAAACACTTAGGTAGATAGTAATGATCTTCAGAATCTGCTCTTACTGGTCAAAGTGATGCAAAGAGTTGCTGTTTAGGCTGTGGGTGTTACATGTTTCTGAAGTTGCTTACTCTGGACAACTTAAAAGAAGCAAACTTTAGCAAATATATTTTGGATAGTTTCTTACCATCTTCAACAATTTTTGCATAATAATGCCTTTTTACCTTCTGACTGCTAACCACATCTGCGAACAAGTGCTGGGGAGGTTAATAATATTCCTTTCTAGCTGTCGTATCTGTTTCCTCTGTCTACTCTACGCAGACATATATCATCGTTAATATGGATACCATAGTCCAAATAGATGGTTTCCATTGAATAGCTTTGAGATCTATTGATGTTTGTTGCTGAGTATTTTATCCACAAGCTGTCTGTGTGTCTGCAGCCTGTGTAGGAATAATCTCATTAGCAAGTGGCATGACGAATATGGTAGCAATTTTAGTTGCCATAATTCAGCGTTATTAAAACTAGCAGAAGCCCCTGCAGTTTGCAGCACGCACTTACTGATGCTGTCCCTGCGATGTAACCCAATAACCAGGTGAATGAT